ACACACACAGTACACACACATAGTACACACACACAGTACACACACAGTACACACACAAAGTACACACACACTACACACACACACTACACACACACACAGTACACACACACACACAGTACACACACAGTACACATACAGTACACACACACAGTACACACACACAATATACACATACCACACACACACAGTACACACACACAATATACACATACCACACACACACAGTACACACACACAGTACACACACACAATATACACATACCACACACACACAGTACACATACAGTACCCACACACAGTACACACACACAATATACACATACCACACACACACAGTACACACACACAGTACACACACACAGTACACACACACAATATACACATACCACACACACACAGTACACACACACAGTACACACACACAATATACACATACCACACACACACAGTACACACACACAGTACACACACACACGGTACTCACACGCGGTACACACACAGTACACACACACAGTACACACACACAATATACACATACCACACATACACAGTACACACACACAGTATACACCCACAGTACACACACAGTACACACACACAGTACACACACACAATATACACATAGTACACACACACAATATACACATAGTACACACACACAGTACACACACACACACAGTACACACACTACACACACACACATTACACACACTACACACACACACACAGTACACACACATAGTACACACAGTACACACACAGTACACACACAAAGTACACACACTACACACACACTACACACACACACACTACACACACACACAGTACACACACACACAGTACACACACAGTACACATACAGTACACACACACAGTACACACACACAATATACACATACCACACACACACAGTACACACACACATTACACACACTACACACACACACACAGTACACACACATAGTACACACAGTACACACACAGTACACACACAAAGTACACACTACACACACACTACACACACACACACTACACACACACACAGTACACACACACACAGTACACACACAGTACACATACAGTACACACACACAGTACACACACAATATACACATACCACACACACACAGTACACACACACAGTACACACACACAATATACACATACCACACACACACAGTACACATACAGTACCCACACACAGTACACACACACAATATACACATACCACACACACACAGTACACACACACAGTACACACACACAGTACACACACACAATATACACATACCACACACACACAGTACACATACAGTACCCACACACAGTACACACACACAATATACACATACCACACACACACAGTACACACACACAGTACACACACACAATATACACATACCACACACACACAGTAAACACACACACGGTACTCACACGCGGTACACACACAGTACACACACACAGTACACACACACAATATACACATACCACACATACACAGTACACACACACAGTACACACCCACAGTACACACACAGTACACACACACAGTACACACACACAATATACACATAGTACACACACACAGTACACACACACACACAGTACACACACTACACACACACACATTACACACACTACACACACAGTACACACACATAGTACACACACACAGTACACACACACAGTACACACACAGTACACACACAAAGTACACACACTACACACACACTACACACACACTACACACACACACAGTACACACACACACAGTACACACACACACACTACACACACTACACACACACACAGTACACACACACACAGTACACACACAGTACACATACAGTACACACACATAGTACACACACACAGTACACACACAGTACACACACATAGTACACACACAGTACAAACACAGTACACACACACAGTACACACACAAAGTACACACACTACACACACACACACACAGTACACACACACACTACACACACACAGTACACACACAAAGTACACACACTACACACACACAGTACACACACAAAGTACACACACAAAGTACACACACACAATATACACACACCACACACACACAGTACACACACACACTACACACACACAGTACACACACAATGGTACCACATCCAACCGCATAGGCGCATACGAGTGAATTCAACCTGCATTTAGCAGATTTTGGGTATAAATTGGTTAGCAGCATATCGCGAAAGCTCAACGAACCCAATACACAGAGCAAAGGAAACCGGCATATCTTGTACCCACTCGACATCCGTTGGCGCTGTCCACTAACACGTTATCAAGATGGCATTTCCAGCTATTGGCACGGTGCGGTGCGTGCGGTTACATAACGTGGCTTCGTTGCAATGCGCGCAAAGCGATCCGTGTGTTCCTGCATAACACCCAGCGTCGGAACCAAGGGGAGGATTAAGCTTTCGCCTCTGGGACCCGCAAATCATTGTTATGCAACGCATATTTATTCGTTTTAAGAAGCTCCTGAGAGTAAGACGGCACTCCGAACTCGTGCCCAATGTCAATAAAGTCATAGCAATCCGGACACACACACACAAACCACGTCAAACCTAGTGACGGTGACGTCGCCATAGCGCTTGTGCCAAGCTAGGTGCACTTTTAGGCCACGTGAAGTAAGGAGGGCTTGCCCCGGCAGGAGGTCAAGGAACAGACCCAGGTGTTAGGGGTTGACTCTCACTTGAGATGAACCCAAACTTCACCCAGAGGGCCTGGTCCTGCGATGGGCGCTGAGAGTTAACGAATTAGCAAGCAATTTAGTCGCTAAGCTATTGCCAATTATATAATAGATTCCATAATAGCACTAGTCTCTGGTGCCTGTGGCAGACGTTTCTTACCTGTGTCTTGCCCACCTGTGACAGCACTTGCCTTTTCACGCGCGTCCATGCGTGCATCAACGCATGCGTGCACGCGCGTCTGTGCGTGCGGGGAGCGGTGGTGCAGTCTGCTTTGTGGATTGCGTTTGATTCCCCTGTATGAAGAACGTCAGTGGCAAGTGAACCTCTTCTGGGCCACTCCTAGATCAACTCGGCCTTAAATGAGCATCTAGATGCGGAGTGTAAACGTCAGTGCTGCTGATTGCTATGCATATTTACATCGCGTAATTTGCAGGATGTAACATTTTTTTTGGATGCATGTCACTGGCACACGACGGCGAATGACATCGCGGGACGTTGAACTCGCACCGTGAAGCGAACGGCGCGTTTGCTCTGGGCTGGTAGACCCGCGGTAATAACCGGGGCGGCCGCTTTGGGTCGAACCGCGAAGCTATGCATCAAAAAGCGGCAAAACGCCGTTACCGCGGGGCCATTCCACCACTGCCCCGATCGACGAACGCACCACTTTCAATTGAATTCTTGAATCTGTCCAGGTCACCTGATGAATGGCAAAAAAAAACACCGCAAAAAAAGCGGTAGTTTCTTTTTTATTTAAGTCAGGGCGACCACCTCTGAGCCAGACTTGACTTGCACAAAAATGCCGTCGATCCGGTAGCAGCTACGTAATGACGAACGCGGCGCGCGCACACAAATATACAAATACAGTGGAACTGTGTGTCGGGGGTGACTGGTTGGCATGGGGTTCACAATGGCCGTGTCATAATGACGACGATGATGATGATGACCAAACTTGGTGCCTGCTGATGACGACCATGATGATGTTGGTCATCATTGCAGAGAAGCGCCGATCCAATAGAAGTTTCGTTTTAAGATGATGACGATGATCACGACTACAAACTTGCATGTGTTTGATGCTTTTTAAAGTTACTTGTACCTACAATACTGAATGATAATAATTTGGGATGATGATGATGAGGCTGTGGACTACTTACTAAATGGTGACGATTGATGACAATTGTACTGACATTACAGTACTCGATCATCACAATGATGATGTTGATGATTGGCACAGATGCATGAAGATACAGGTCCCCTGTATAACCTTCGCAGGCTGTTCAAGCAACTACTGCTGGCACCACGCCCGGCCACCTTTTTCGGCTCCTTCTGTCTGAGTCAACCTAGGGGGGGGGGAAGGGTCAGGACGCATTCACAAAATGACCACCGATAATCGTGTTCGCCATGGCCAGGAATCGAACTGACCACTACACCACCCACTCGCTGCCTTCGTCCTATGCAGACAAACAAAGACAAAGGTCACCCGTGTAGCCTTAATAGACTGTTGGAGGAAAGTGCTATTAGCATGGTGTGCGAGGGGGTGGGGCGGCCAGCACCGCGCCTGGCTACCTTTATCTCGCTAGTGGCGATGTTCACGCACACTGCACCTGGTACTCATTTGAGGCTCAATCGACCTAGGCGAGGCCCAGGGTAGGTACAGATAAAGCGTCACTGGCGTTGACCGTGAGCAGGAATCGAACCCGGGTCGCCGGGTTCGTAGCGCGGCGTGCGAACCGTTGCACTACCGCAGACGTACGCACAGAAAATTAACCCGTAGAAACAAAGTTTTTCACTGTAAATCCTTTATGTGCGTGGTGGCATCGGTTTTATTTTATTATTCATTTCTGTTTTTCTTGAGTAAGAGTTTCATTTTTATCACATTGCTATTTTAAATTAAATATGAATTTTTTTTTTCCTACAAAGTGGAAAATTTTGGAAAAAAATTTTCACGAAAATAAATTGTCACGCACAACGAGGTCTGTGTGCAAAATGTCAGCTCGATTGGATCAAGGGAAGTGGGTTAAAAAACGACCGAAAGATTTGCACGGTCGTAAGCGCGCAAGCAAGCAAGCAAGTGAACTTAATATAAAGGATTTAAAAAGACAACGATCCCCCGTATAGCCTTCGCGGACTGTTAGGGCCAAGTGCTGTTAGCGAGCAGCACCACAGCAGGCCGGCACGGCACACGCGGGGGTGGGTGGCCAGCACCACGCCCTCACACAAACCTCTCCTCGTCCTCCCCCCCCCCCTTGTTTCCGTCTCGCTCGCTCGCTCGCGCAGCATGGGTGAGCAGCCCCCCATAGAGATGAGCTGCCTGGCCAAGAAGTTGGAGGCTCTGCAGTCCGACTCGGAGTCCGCCTGCCGCGTGGAGGACGAGGAGGAGGAGGGGGGGGGCGACGCCGCCGCCCGCTTCTGGGAGGCGCCCGACTTCTGCATGGCGTGCGCCCAGCGGCACGGCCCGTCCGAGGGCCACGCGTACGACTACCGGCAGGAGGTTGACGAGGACCTGACGTGCCGCGTGTGCCTGGAGCCGCTGCTGGGCCCGCTGGACACGCCGTGCGGACACACCTACTGCCGCGAGTGCCTGCGCGGGATCGCGGCTCGCGCGCGGACGACCCGTGCCCACGGTGGGTCTTTGTCCGGCGAGCGGCGAGCACGGGCGGTGAAATAACCAAAACTTTAAAAAATTGTTAAACCAGGTAAGGCCCCACTGAGCCATGTAGCGCTTTTTCAGAAGCGACTTGGCCACCGCAAATGATAGCTCAACGAAGTGGCTTATCGCGTGGAGATGTATAGCAAGAAAATACTCTAAGACGCGTGTTTCTAAATGTGGAAGTAAAACCTGGAGGAACCGGAGAAAAGTCCACACGGCCACGGGGAGAACTTGTAAATTCCAAATACGCAGCAGGCATCGGGGTCGGGATCGAACCCACGACCTCCTGCATACCAGGCGAGGTAGTCAACAGGCGCAAGGTAGGAGCGGGGAGCCGACAGCACGGAAGGCTGGTGGAACACAGGTTCAAAGTTCAAAGTTCATTTATTAGGTATAGCCCTGTGAGCCATTCGGCTCTTGAATCGGGTGCAACCGCAACAAACAAAAAACAAAAACATGAACAAGAAAACATCTTAAAGTGACTATGTGCAAACAGAAAATCCAAGAAAAGACAGCAAAATATTGCAGAAAAAATCACCGTACACCAACCCTGTGTGCAAATATCCCAGTGGGATGCAAGTCAAACAACAACAACCACAAGACAACTTAGATTAAGGCCATCAGTCTAACTCTGTACTACAACAAACATAGATTAAGGCCATCAGTCTAACTCTGTACTACAACAAACATAGATTAAGGCCATCAGTCTAACTCTGTACTACAACAAACAAACAGGGAAGTTCATTCATTAGCCTGGCTGCAGCTGTCGGCATGGCCCTCGAGGTTGCTGCGTTCATGTGACTCTGCGCGCTTTAGTGGCTTGGCCTGTTTTTTTCGTCGTCGTCGTTGTCAATGATTTGCCAGATTTTGCCACCGGAGTCGCTCGTTAACCCGACATTTTCTAGCGTCAGTCGTTGCTCCCAAGTTCTCTGGCCCCGCGTGACCTCCCTCCCTCCCTCCCGCTGGCAGGCGCAGTAAGTCACCTTCGCTAAATCTCACTGCAACGCTCAGACACTCCGCGTGAGTACATGCGAGTTTTTATTTTGGCATTTTAAGTACGTAAAACTAAGCTGAAACACAAATTGAGCAATCGTTTGAAGGACGTGATTAACCAGGTAAAGTCTTAACTTGCTATGATGTTTCCATCCCTTCTACCGATGTTAACTGACTCTCTGAGTTTCATTACTAGGATGGATGTCTTTGTATTGACAGGCTGGGTGTCCACTGCCCCAGCCTCTGTGCTTGGACCATCTCTAGCTCCACCCACCTACCTTGATGCACCCATCTCAGGCCTATTTCAGACCTTGTCACACGCGCACGTACACACATACACACACAACAACAACCGCCATTCGCCACTAAGTGGCGGTGACGTCACCACGATGCTTGTGCCAGGCCAAGTGCACCTTGAGGCCACGTGAAGTGTCGAAAGCCCGCTGGCAGGAGGTCACGGGGCAGACCCAGGTGCCACTCGTCGACTGACCGAGATGACCGAGATGACTGGCTGATGCACCACCTGTGCCCCCTACTGTGCCAACTTGCTGTGCTTTAGCCACCCGGCGCTCCGCTCGTTGTTGTGAGCGTCGCTCCTCCGCCCTCCGTTGTTGTTGGAGGGCGACTGCCTCCAACTGCCCAGTAGCGTCCTTCACGAGCCTCCTCCACTGAGGCCGATCTTGACACCGCTGGTACCAGTCATCGGCAAGTCCACTCAGCTCCACGTCCTCCTGTACCACATCACTCCATCTCTTCTCCAGCCCGTGCCGCGCCCGTCTAGCCCCCTCGATCCGGCCGAACAAAAGCTGTTTAGGCATGCGGTGGCTGGGCATGCGGGCTACATGACCCAGCCAACGCAGCCTTGCCTGCCGGAGGAGCTCACTGATGGGACTTTGCCCAGATCTTTCAAGGATTTGTGAGCTCCTCACACAATCCAGCCTGGTTAAACCCAGGATGGATCGTAGGCAGGCCAGCCTAAATGTTTCCAACCGGCGAAGATGCTCCACCAGGGGGGTCCACGTCTCGCAAGCGTAGAGAAGGGAGGGAATGACCGTGGCCGAGAAGACCTGAAGCTTCGTGCGGAGCGACAGACCAGGTAGCTTCCACACAGCGTTACGCAACCGATGAAAAGATATTGCCGCTCGACTGATTCGGAGTGAGACCTCTGCTGATAGACTGGAGCCGGTCATAAGCATACTGCCCAGGTATGGGAAACTCTCCACTCTCTCCACAACTGCCCCATCACCAATTGGGAGTTGTGGGGGTGGAGTGTCCGATGGTACAAAATACCCAGGCAGGTGCTTGGTTTTGGTGGGGCTGATGGTAAGGCCCCACCTCTTAGTGGCACGCTCCAGTCTCAGCAGCAGCGCCTCCAACTCCTCTTCTGAATGAGCAGCTATTACCAAATCATCGGCATACATAACGTGGTTGACCAATAGGGAGCCATCCCTTGATCGCACCCGGGCGTCGATCAGCCTCCCATTATATCTGTACCAAACGGAAATTCCCCCGGTACAGCTATTGAAGGCTTCACGAACTACGCGGTCAAAATAGATGTTAAATAATGTGGGAGCCAGAGGACATCCCTGTCGCACCCCAAGGTGTACAGGGAAAGGCTCCAACTCCCGGCCACGTAGTTTTACCCGGGCCCGCTCACCATCATGAAGGTCCTTAATGATCGTGAGCAGAGGGTCAGGGACTCCGAAAGCACGAAGAACAACCCAGAGTCCAGTCCTACTGATGGTATCATAGGCCTTGACCAGGTCAATAAAGCAGAGATGTAGGTCTTTTTGGAATTCCCTACACCTCTGCTGTAGCAGACGGACAGAAAATATGGCATCTGTGCAGGACCGCCCTTTCCTGAAACCGCATTGGGGCTCCGCAAGCCCCTCCTCAGCGTGCCTAGCAAGGCGATGTTGAATAATCCTTGCCAGGACCTTACCCGGCACACTGAGGAGTGAGATGCCCCTGTAGTTGTTACAGTCTGTGCGGTCCCCCTTCTTAAAGAGGGGGACCACCAGGGCATCCTTCCAGTCCTGCGGAACCCGTCCAGTGGTCCAGACTGTTGTTATGATGTCATATAGGGCAGTCTGTGCACAAACGCCACACTCCCTCAGCATTTCGCTTGGGAGATCATCTCTGCCCGGTGCCTTCCCTGGTCTCAGACTCCGGATCGCCCTCAGTACTTCCTCAACAGCTGGAACCTCAGCCAGCCACTCACAGGGGGTGACCTCTTCCAATATTTGAGGCACCGCAGCCTCAGCAGGGTTATCCCCACTTTGTGCCATGATGTTTTCCTGGCTGAGAGAATTTCCCTCCCCCAGGACCTCACAGAAATGCTCAGAAAATCTGCAAACCTGTTCCTGGGGGTCGGAGATTGGATCACCGTTTTTTCCTCTAATGATGGTAATAGGTGTGGCGCTGCAGGTTACTTTTTTGATGGAGTTAAATAGTGATTTGTGATCACGGGCCACTGAGGCAGACTCCATCTCCTCAGCAACCCGCGACCACCACCCATCCTTACAACGCCTTACGGCTCTCCGAACTTCCGAGCGAAGGCTGCGGTAAACCTCCTCATTCTCTGACGTGGGATGCTGTAGGCGATGAGAGTGGGCCTGTCGCTTTTTCTCAATTAACCTGAACACCTCCTCTGTCAGCCAGGGTTTCTGGGGAGGTCTGGACCGCGTACCCAAAGCAGCCATTGCAGCTGCATGAGTCACAGTCTTAAACCTCGCCCATTTACCCTCGACATCAGGTGGAGTGGGGGACGATGCCAACCCCAGCTGCAAGCGATGATGAAATTCTCGCTTGCAACTTTCATCAGCTAACTGAGACCAGGCCACTTTTGGTTGGAATGGGATCCTGGGTGTACACCCACCACCGGAGTGGAAGAAAGGCAGGCGCATCTTACAGATGACTAGTCGATGGTCAGAGGACAGATCAGCTCCACGGTAGGTCCTGGTGTCAAGGACATGGGTTCGCATCCGCTGGTCCGTCACTATGTAGTCCAGCAGATGTTCTTGCTTGGACCCGGCATGTATCCATGATGTTGTGTGGATGCGCCGATGCCGGAAGAGCGTGTTGGTAATTACAAGCCCATGGGCTGCACAAAAATCTAGCAGCCTCCTACCGTTATTATTGAGCTGATCTGGCCCATGCCTTCCAATCACTCCAGACCAGGTGTCAGCATCATGACCAACTCGGGCATTGAAGTCACCCAACAAGATGACTCTGTCCCGAGTGGCCACTTTAGCCAGCACCTGTGACAGGAGGTCATAGAAAGCGTCTGACTCATCGGCTTTGCTTGCATCCCTCCACGGATGTTCGTCTTCGGTGGGGGCATAAGTAACCACGACCACCACTCCTCGCCTCTGGTTGATGGGAAGGCGAGCCCAAAGTATCCTGGGGCTTACAGCTTCCCACACCTCACCGCCACGCTCCCACGCCCCCTTCATTCTTTTGTTCAGAAGAAGAGCCACACCCTGTTGTTTGGCAGTCTCCTGCCCCGAGTAGAGGACTGTCCACCCCTCATGGTGGCAGGAGCCAGAACCGGTCCACCGGACCTCCTGAATGCCACAGAGATCCAGGCGGTACCGGTCCAGCTCCCGACAGAGGAGTGGCAGCCTCTCCTCCGCAGTGAGCGTTCGAACATTCCACGTGGCCATCCGCAATGGTTTTTTGTTGTTTCTGGAGGAGCCCCGAGGGTGAAAATTCAATCTCCTGGCTCCGCCAAATGGGGTTTGGTCAGGAGACGTCATAAAAGCCTGACCCCCCGGGGCCTCCGGCACAAGCTTATTTGTTACAGGTTTATGTTTAATTCGTGGTTTAGTGGTAATGAATTGAAGGTGGAGGGGTTACCAGCCCCTCACACCCGTCCAGAGCCCCCGTTTAGCCACTGTGGTGGTCACAGACGCCATGAGGGGAGAGGCCAATGGGCATTGGCCCTCCCCCCACAGCAATGTCCACGACAGTGTTGCCCGTCCGGCACCGCGAGGAGGTAGGAGGTTGTTTTGCCGGACTACACACACGCACACACACACATACGCAAGCACACACACGCACACACACGCGGACACACACACACGCATGCACACACACACGCGCCCGTACACACACGCGCACACACGCACACACACGCACACACACACACGTACGCACGCACACATGCATGCACACACACATACGTGCAGAGTGGGTGCAGCTTGGGTGGCAGAGGGGGGATAAAATGACAATGAATTCACATTTCATCGGCGTGCCAGTTGCCAAACACCGCGTGTGAAGATTATGTGCGTGTGTGTGTGAAGAGTGTGTGTGTGTGTGTCTGTGTGTTTCTGACACCCAAGCCAAACACACACACATACAAAGCGGCACGCAGGTAGTAGTCATAATGTAAAGTCACGTCAGGTAGAAAAATAAAATAAAACAAAAAACAATCTATCACGACGTTTCGATCGCAACACAAGCGGTCGTCCTCAGGTGGTTCAGCAGTTCCACTGCTGGATTATGTTTCCCGCCTGAAGACGATTGCTTGTGTTGCGCTCGAAACGTCGTGATCTATTAATTTACTATTCCCGTGACTTGCCCGACAGACTCAAGGAGTATGAAACACGAGTGTTATAACTTGAACAACTAGGAGCGGCCCAGCCATCACAAAGAATGGCTCAATAAGAAGTAGCTCATCACCATGTGGAAATTTATGTCAGTAGCCAAATACTCTTGAACACACGTCGATTCTGAATGTGGACGGGAAAAACCGGAGGACCCGGAGAAAAATTCACACGACCACGGAGAGGGAGAGAGAGACTCCAAATATACAGCAGCAGGCGTCAGGGTTGGGAGCGAACCCACGACCTCATATATACCAGGCGAGGTAGTTAACTTCTATTCTAGATTTGACGCTTTCGTGACTGCAAGGATTCATACTCTTAGGTTTTTTCAGTAAAGTCACGTAGGGGGGGAGGAGGGAGGGGCTTATCTGAATGTGGTAGCCCTCCTCCCCCTTAACTTGTATTTAAGAACTTATATCTTGGAATCTTTGCCTCACTCGATGCAGCAAATCTAGCTGTGACGGTCCCAACCTGATGACGGAGACTTGTGTTGCCTACTAAAAGGCGTGATTTATTATTTTATTTTATTTCTATTATAAATTTTAGTAATTTAAAAATTTTACCTACGTGACTTTACCGAAAAAACCTAAGAGCATAGTTAACATCTCTCTTCTAAGTGTCATGGCAAATAAATGGTTGGCATGAACTCGGCAACGTGTACAGCGATTCCTCGTTGAGCGCCGCGGGAGATGCGCTCTTGAAAAGTGGCATATGTAAATAAATAAAAACAATGCAAATTTGAATCGCGTTTGCACGACACCATCGGCCTGCAGCCTTCCCGTGGCTGCGGGACACAGACCTGAGATGAGCGTGCGCGCCGCTCACCCTACGTATCATTCCACGTGCTGCACCAGACGCACAGCGCAAGAAAGTAGTTCGTGTTCCACCGCGTTACGGCGTCGCGCGCGATCCGCGGCATCACCGTGCACCGTTCCGCTTCGTTCGAAAAGTCTTCCCGCGTGGAAGAAACGCGTGATCGCAGCAACAACTCGTTACCGTGTGATCACCGCATGTTAAGCGAGGACTTAGCATTTCACACAAAGTGCTTTCCCCAAATGAACCACAATACAGTGATACCTCGGTTCACGAACGCTTCTGTTCACGAACAACTCGGTTCACGAACAGAAAAGTTCCGAAAAAGATGCTCCGGTTCACGAACTCCGCTTCGGTTCACGAACAGGAGCCGCGGCCATTTTAATGCTATTTCCAGGCTGTCACATGGTCGTGACTTCCTGTAGGAAGATCGTGGAGAGAAGAAGAGACGCAGAAAGAAGTACTGTGAGTACTGTGAAGACACTTTCAGTGACTTTTTGCTTTTTGGTGTGCTTTTTAGCACATACAGTACTGTACTGTACTACTGTACTGTACTTACTGTATTGTACAGTTCACCCGTTTGAGTGCTTACTGAAGTCATCTCAAGCAAGGTTAGTGTTCTCTCTTTATACATTACTATACTGTACAGTACTAATGTGTATTGTCATTTGTTTCATATTTTTGTGCTTCAAAAACCAAAAAAAAAGGTCAGAACAGATTAACCGGATTTACATGGAACCCTGTGGGAAAATGTGCCTCGGTTCACGACCAATTCGGTTCGCGACCAGAGTCAGTTCACGAATAAAGTTCGTGAACCGAGGTATCACTGTACCTTGCTGATCTCGTCAAGGTGCATAAACCATCACGCAAACTCCGGTCATCCTCGTCGCAGCAGTGGATTTTTGGCTCGCCATCAAACAAAGGCGGCAACCGCATCGCGCGCTTTCAGACGCGCTTCTGCGGCCGTCTGGAACGCTCTTCCTTCAGATATTAGGAAGCCACTGGAGCTAGTCACCTTTAAATCTAGATTGAAAACTAATTTCTTTATAACCTGCCTTTTGTATTTAGTTTGTTGTCCTTCCCCCGCACCTCCGAAATAGCGCGGTTGGCTACGCTCGGTGCGAAAGAAGGGTAAAAACCTACTACTATATTTTGCCACTGGTAAAAGAGATCTCATAGTGTAAATGCTTACCCCGAGCTCTCAAGACTCTGATATTGCGCTGTGTTTGAGTTGTACGCCTTCTGGTGTCATCTGGTCCAACACCAATGGGGACTAGGCTCTAAAGAAAGCCGTCTCGGGTGTGGACCAATCAACTTCAAGGATAGTGCATATTATTATCATTATCAGAGTTGCTTCTTTTTGTTTGCTTTTTTGACTACTTGTGTTGTGGTTATTGCAAACATGATGCCTTGAATAAAGGTGTCAGTTTTGTACCAGTTTAAAAGGGTAAAAACCTACTACTACTATAAGTTCAACATACACACACACACACACGTGTTTGATATACGGGGTCGTTCAAAGTCAAGGAGCGCTTGGATAGAAGGATGATGGAAGCTTAACTCACGATGGGGAAATAAGTGGAGGAATTTAATGCAGCTCCCGATAGCAACAAGGAAAATCCTCCACTCCAGGGATGCAGCCGTTCTTGAGATGACGAGCAGAGGGGAGGGGGGGGGCAGCAGCCAGAGGTGACGCGCGAGTGAGGGAACCCGACTGCTGGCGGCGCGAGGAGAAAGCTGAGGCACAGCGACGGACTGACCACATGTGGCTGCCATCCTAGACGGGGGGATCACCTGTTGGAGCAAAACTTAGCGGAATATTCACTCGATGATGACGATGAGTTTTCTTGGTTGCGTGATGATTTTTTTCTTTTGACGATGATGATAATATTCTTAGGTTTTTTCGGAAGCTTGTGTTGCCTCCGAAACGTCGTGATTTTTATTTTATTTTTATTTTACTTTTATTAATTTTAATTTTTTACCTACGAGACGTTACCGAAAAAACCTAAGAATAAGAATCCTTGCAGTCACGAAAGCTTCAAATCTAGGATGATGATAATGTTTTACCTAATTCAAATTAATTTCATAAATGACGTTAACAGCTCCATGATGATCATGATGATGTCTTCCCGTTAATTAACGATGATTTCCTGTAGCTCTTGACAGCGATGCTCAAGACGTCAGACTTCACGCGAATCACTAACATCCATGATGATGACCACTACATTTTGTCGGCTACGAATTTGTGACGACGATGATCGTGTTTGTATGTACGGCGAACTGCCCGTAAGTAGCCGAGCGCTCTAACCGGAGGCGCAGATGATGATGGCGGCGGCGGCGACGACGACGATGATGATGATGACGATGACAATCGCAACGGCTCGTGTAATTCTCACCCAGGCGAGAACGGAGAGGGAAATCGGACCAATGATGACGACGATGACGATGAGGATGATGACTATGATGATGATGACGATGACAATCGCAACGGCTCGTGTAACTCTCACCCAGGCGAGAACGGAGAGGGAAATCGGACCGATGATGACGACGACGACGATGACGACGATGAAGACCTGGAGGTCTGCTGCCCCTTGGACAGGGAGCCGTTCCGTCTCTTCGAATGCTCCTCGTCCAGCTTCCTCGTGAAACGCCTCCTGGACAAGCTCATGGTCGGCTGTCCCCTCTGTCCCGACGGCGAGATGCAGCGGAGCGACCTGGAAGAACACCTGCGTAACAGGTGAGAGCGCGGCACTGTGTGTCTGTGTGTGTGTCTGTGTGTGTGTGTGTGTCTGTTTAATTCGTAATTTAGTGGTGGTTAATTGAAGGTGGAGGGGTTACCAGCCCCTCGCACCCGTCCAGAGCCCCCGTTTAGCCACTGTGGTGGTCACAGACGCCATGAGGGGAGAGGCCAATGGGCATTGGCCCTCCCCCCACAGCACTGCCCACGACAGAGTTGCCCGAAGCGAACGCCCGCTGGCAGGAGGTCACGGGGCGGCACCTGGGTCTGCCCCGTGACCTCCTGCCAGCGGGCGTTCGACACTTCACGTGGCCTCAAGGTGCACATGGCCTGGCACAAGCGTCGTGGTGATGTCACCGCCACTTAGTGGCGAATGGCGGTTGTTGTTGTTGTTGTGTGTCTGTGTGTGTGTGTGTCAGTGTGTCTGTGTGTCTATGTGGTAGTGTGTCTGTGTGTTAGTGTGTCTGTGTGTCTGTGTCAGTGTGTCAGTGTGTCAGTGTGTCTGTGTCAGTGTGTCAGTGTGTCTGTGTGTTAGTGTGTCTGTGTGTCAGTGTGTCTGTGTCAGTGTGTCTGTGTGTCTGTGTGTCTGTGTGGTAGTGTGTCAGTGTGGTAGTGTGTCAGTGTGTCTGTCAGTGTGTCTGTGTGTTAGTGTGTCTGTGTGTCTGTGTCTGTGTGTCTGTGTGTCTGTGTGTCTGTGTGTCTGTGTGTCTGTGTGTCTGTGTGGTAGTGTGTCAGTGTGGTAGTGTGTCAGTGTGTCTGTCAGTGTGTCTGTGTGTTAGTGTGTCTGTGTGTCTGTGTCTGTGTGTCTGTGTGTCTGTGTGTCTGTGTGTCAGTGTGTCTGTGTGTTAGTGTGTCTGTGTGGTAGTGTGTCAGTGTGTCTGTGTGTCTGTGTGTTAGTGTGTCTGTGTGTTAGTGTGTCTGTGTGTCAGTGTGGTGCGGTGGTGGCCACCCACCCCTTCGTGTTTCCGTGCCAGCCTTCCATAGGTGCTAATCGCTAAGAGCACTTGCCCCAATAGTCTGCTACAGGCTATGCGGAGGATCTTTGTCTTTGTGTGCACGCGTGCGAGTGTGTGCGCGCGGCACAGTGAGAGTAGCAGTGCAGTGTGGCTAGCACGCCGCGCTACGAACCTGGCGACACGAGTTCGATTCCCGCTCGCGACCAACACCGGTGACGATTACCTGAACCAACCGGTCCTGCGCCTCCCTTAGGTCGACTCAGTCTCAAATGAGTACCTGGTGCCACTGGGGATGACACAGGCGTCTGGGCGTGGTGCTGGCCACCCACCCCTTCGTGTGCCGGGCCGGCCTTCATTGATGCTCGTTAACAGCAGTCGCCCCAACAGTCTGTTAAGGCCATGGGGGGGATATTTGTCTTCGTGTGGCACAGTGGGGAGCACAGGTGGTGCATCGGCCGGTCGTCTGAGTAGGTCAACCCATGGCACCTGGGTCTGTCCCGTGACCTGCCTGCCTGCAGCGAGCCTTTTACACTTCACGTGGCGTCGAGGTGCACAACGAGCCTGAGGCGAGGTGTTTTTGTTGTTGTCGTGAACGCTGTCACAATAGGTCACACGGTCGGAGCAATGGTCCCTTGTTGACTATGCCTGATGATTGATCAATTGTTATGGGCGTGTGTGTGTGTACGCACGCGCGTTAATTATCAAGGCAGGTGGTTGCGATTAGCACCATACCCCCGCCGCCTTTATCTCCCTAGTGCTGATGTGTACACGTGGCATCAGGGACTCGTCTAAGGCTGAGTTGACCCACGGAAGGCCCGGGAATGGTTCCGATATCGCTCGCCGCACGTGTTGGCAGTGGCCGGGAATCTAAAGTCGTAGCGTGGCGCTTGAACCACGACACAAAGTCTGCACACGCTCCAACGATTTGTTGAAAGCTGTACAAGGGGAAGCTTTGCCTTCGTGTGCGTGGTAACTGGGCAGTGGCGGCACATTGGTTCTCATGCTGCGCGATGAACCCCGCGAGCCGACTTTGATTCCCGCCTTTCAATAACATCGGCGGTTTGTGATGTGTGAACTGGTTGTGCGGCCATGAAACACATCCCTCCTGCGGAGGGAGCTGGTAGGAACGTTGGGTTGCTTGCTCAATGGCCAGGGTCAACGGCAGCGTGGTGTATTCCGCAAATATGCCCGACTGTGAGGGCGGGCACAAGCCGGCGTGAGTAGGTTAAACGTTGAGTTTTATAAGGGCACCACGGGGTGACCAGCCCCACCCTCCCCACCCAGCCTCTCCCCACCCTCCCCACCCAGCCCCTCCCCACCCTCCCCACCCAGCCCCTAGCCACCCTCCCCTCCCCACCTAGCCCCACCCTCCCCACCCAGCCCCTCCCCACCCTCCCCACCCAGCCCCTCCCCACCCTCCCCTCCCAGCCCCTCCCCACCCTCCCCTCCCAACCCAGCCCCACCCTCCCCACCCAGCCTCTCCCCACCCTCCCCACCCAGCCCCTATCCACCCTCCCCTTCCCCACCCAGCCCCTCCCTCCCCCACCCAGCCCCTCCCTCCCCACCCAGCCCCTCCCTGCACAACGGACACAATAATCCCCTGTGGGCTGGTGTAACCAGGAGGTTCCTACCAGTATGAGTAGCAGCTGTCACGTGTAAGAATCAGCCGGTCGGGCGTGGTGCTGGCTCCACCACTCCCTGGTTCGTTATCCCGGCCTTTAGAGGTCCTCGCTACGGGTCCTTGCTCCAACACGAGGGCTGAACGATTAATCGATTTCAAATCGAAATCGCAATTTGAAACCAAGCGATTGGCAAATCGCAAAGGCTGCGATTTTTTGCGATTTCAAAAGTTCCTATTACTTTCTTATTGGAATTGTTTTATTTTTTATTAATATAATTCTATTTATTCAACTTAACAATCGTTCGATGTTTGATTGTTCTATTTCAATTCAAACATGTGAATAAATACATGTTGGAATCAATTCATATCTTTTTTAGTTTTCATCCTTGTGTGTAGTGGGTTCTACTGAGTCGCAGACGCACTTCTTGCAGGCAACACATTTATTAAGACCAACGCACGGGGTACTACCCCTTAACACCAGGCTACTATGGAACGGACCCTAGCCTGGGTCCAGGTCAGAGGTCGCAAACGGGTTTTGATTCCTTACCCGTACCCGTACCCGGCCGCACCAGGGTCGCAAACGGGTACCCGTACCCATACCCTACCCGATACCCGGCTACCCGTACCCGGGTATCGGGTACCCAATTGCGACCTCTGGGATGAAGCCATGTTGCAGGCGCGGGTGGGTTGATTCTAGGAACTTGAATTGTGAGAAGAGACAAGACGTTGGGAAATGAGTGACAAACAGTTACTCACCAGTGACTCACGGCCTACCCGTACCCGGCCACACCAGGGTCGCAAACGGGTACCCGTACCCGGCCGGGTACGGGTAGCCGGGTATCGGGTAGGGCACGGGTATCGGGTACCCGGTTGCGACCTCTGGTCCAGTCCACGTGTTGGTGACTCTTGTAGGACGTAGAACGTAGATTCTTCAGGATGAACAACAGCAGCTGGTCCTGCTCGGGGACTCGGCTTCTCTCCTCTGCGGCGTGGCTGGCTCCACCCTTGGCCACGCCCACCTTCTAGAACCCTCGAGCAGGATCTCGACCCTGACACGTGACCACCCGTAGCCCCCACCTGGGGCCCTGTGGAGACTTTGCCGGTCAAGTGTCCTTCGGGGTCAACCAGAGTGCCATGGCCCTGAGTAACCCCATTCCCGTGGCCGGCACTCTCACACCCCCTATCCTGTAGGGGTCGGCACTGCACGCAGGGCGTGGTGCCACTCAGCGCTGTCAGTCAGCGCTCACCGAGCCCCTCTAGTGCCGGAACTGCACCCACACCCACGTTGTGCCCGCGATGTCGTTACCGGCATTACACAGCGACATTCGCGATGTCACTACACTTGCATTACAATATATAGAGCAGTTCATATTGTGATGATATCATGTGGTAATGCTCCATCACGTGTTTTAAATCTGTTGCACAGTGAATATTGAACTGGAGCTTGACTTAAAAAAATGTAATCGCAATCGCAATATTTGTCTGAAAAATCGCAATTAGATATTTACCCCAAATCGTTCAGCCCTATCCAAGACCTTGCGTAGGTTACGCAGGGGGTCTTTGTGTGTGTGTGTAATGTAGCGTAGTGGTTAGCACTACGCTGCGCTACGAACCCGGCGACCCGAGTTCAATTCCCGGTCACGGCCAACACCGCCAGTGGTGATTATCTAAACCGGTCCTGAGCCTCCCCTAGGCCGACTCAGCCTCAAATGAGTACCCGGTGCGGTGTGTAAACATCGCCACTGGGGAGACAAAGGCGGCCGGGCGTGGTGTTGGCCACCCACCCCCTCGTGTGCCGTGCCGGCCTTCATAGGTGCTCGCTAACAGCGCTTGCCCCAACAGTCTATTGAGGCTACACGAGGGGGGGAGGTAGGGGGGATCTTTGTCGTCTTTGCTACACTCGCATACGGCTTCATCAGCGCGAGATTGCCAGCCCAGATGCATTGCGGTCGGATCGTACATGATTTCATCCGCGAGCTTAATGCGCCGTAGTTTGTGGCGTGTGCGGTGTCTCGCGGCGTGTTAACACGCCGTGGGCAGAAGCGCGCGGAGCCGCGTAATCTCGGCTCGCAAATCCCACCGGGAGACTCGGAGCGGAGCCGCTCTCTCTCGAATAATGGGTCCCGCGAGAGATGCGGTGACAGCGTGAACGCCTCTTTGCGTTTTACCCCCATTAAGTATGTTGTACCATTCACACCGCTGTGTCCGATTGTATGTGTGTGTATGTGTGTGTGTGCGCATGTGTGGTAGCGTGGTAGTGTAGCCGGGCGTGGTGTTGGCCACCCCATCCCTTTGTGTGCCGTGCCGGCCTTCACAGGCGCTGTTTGTTTTTCTTCGTGTGGTGGTGTAGCGGTTAGCATGCAGCGATGTGTTTTTCTTCGTGCTGTGGTGTAGCGGTTAGCATGCAGCGATGTGTTTTTCTT